GGTGTAACCGTGTCATACTTTGAATGGCTGAAGAATCTGAATCACGTCAGTTATGGACGTCTTACATTTAAATATGAAACAGAATCAAATTACGATATCTTAGGTAAGTGAAATGTGGTATACATACTAGCAAAAAAACAATAAAAATATATTTGAAAATAATGTTTATGTAGACATCTTGTATTTAAAGGGTGTTTATCATCATGCCATGCATGTCCATGTATTGTTGGTAAATAGTGATTTTTTTTCACAACCCATTATACTCGTCGAGTGGCTAGCATGAATTCTAGTTTTGACATTGGTTGCTATATGCAGCAAATACTGAAGTTGACAATTTAGTGTTAATCTGCATAACAATCAAAGTTGCAAAACAAGACATGAAAAGGTATTTTCACTTTAGAACCCAAACTGTACTGCCAGAGTCTTTTATTTCTTTTGCTCACAAAGTTCTACTTCGAATTTCATTTTGCTTGATGTATTTCTTCCTGTAGAGAGTGTCCAAGAAAGCTTAGAACGTAAATTTGGTCGGGACAGTGGTGGAATTCCAATCACACCTACTGAACAATTCAGAAAGAAAATAGCAGGTGCTAGTGAGGAAGATATTGTTCGAAATGGTTTGGCACAAACTATGGAAAAGTCATCTAGGGTGAGAATCATTATAGAGATTCCTTCAACAGAATTATTAATTGTTCTCTGAATGTTGTTATGGTAAAACAGAACTGTTACATTTGCTAACTGATTCCAGTTTCTGTTTACAGCAATGCTGTAATGGAAACACATCAAAAATAGAAAAAATCTGCAAGTGTGGACAATCATGCGATCAATTTTATAATTATGAGTTAGAAAAGTAGTTACATTATTTTCAATTTATTTGATTGAAATTCATATTTGAGACATGTAATAATCAACTTTTTATTTTTAATTTTTTCAGAATATTATGCGAACTGCAATGAAATACAACCTTGGTCTTGACCTCCGTACTGCAGCATTCATACTCGCTATCGAAAAGATCTACACATCATATAAAGAAGCCGGTCTTACTTTCACATAAAAAATTTTTGTTAATTATGTGCATTAATTAATTTGTATACAAACTAGCCAATTTTCAGCTTTTCCAGTAATATCTCAAATGCCACTCAACAAATTTCAATAAAACTTAGTACATTGGTGCTCTTAGATAATTCTCAACCTAATTAGTTCAATGTTAAAATCCTTGCATATTTATTAGCTGATTTGCATAAATTAGACAACTTTCTGAATGACCGAAAACAGTACTCATCTTCTAGTTTTATTGGATCTATTACGTGACTTATTTGGTATGGTATGAATAACAGCCAGCAATTGTGGGAAATATTTAAGGTAATTGTTCAGAATTAACAGGAAATTTCTACGAGCCACAGCAATCTGGCACGTAGGTGAAACTTTGTAAATTCTCAAAAAGTATTTAAAAAATGAAAATTAAACTTGCTATCATTCAGACTTGCTGAAAGTCATTGATAATTGTATGTTTTGTAAATATTTCCTACAAATTTTCCCAATTTTAACCAACTATTTCACGTAATAATCCCAATGACCACATGAAGGATCTCAGAATGAATTTAAAATTACTGAAATATTGTCTGATTATGACAGTTATAAAAGTTACCCACATGTTGTTAAAAGTTTTTGTAGTGGCAGGTGAAAAAACTAATGTCTTTATGGTGTTCTCGCCATAATTTACATAGTGTTAATAAGAAGATAGAAATAATAGTAAATACGAGTATTTAATAGACTACTTAAACAGAATAATAACAATTATATATTTTTTAATTGGGAGAATTATTTATGGGTAGATTGGCCTGGCCTTTGGAATTCTATTCTTTTGCATAATAATTGCTTTTAAGAGTTCATATGTAAAGTCTGTCACTGATATTAAACTTCCAAGACTGGTCTATTCTGCCCTCTGTAGTTAGCACTGTATTTTCATACAGGTGAATGATTGGCGTGATTGTAAGCAGCCAACCAATGAGAAAGCAGCTTTTGATCCAGGATGCCAGCATAACTCTGACATTCTTTGCGTAAGTGCACATCAGTCTACTTTTTTGAATAGTTCCATATCTGGGTTGCATATCACCACCACAGAATAGATTAGTCATAACAAAAAATTGGCAAGGCTAGTCTATGTTATGGGGAAAGTACATGTATAAATAATAATCAATATAAAAATGACAACCACTATTGTATTTTATGAGATCTCATGTTATCCATGAAAGTGTGTGGACTGAATGATTGTTAGCTTTCACAAAGTTCTGAAAAGGGTCTATGATGTCTTGCAGCATTCATACATTCCTAATAAGTCAGTATTATTTTATAATTTTTACCATTATTTCTCAGGATTTGTATCCATTATTTGGGTATTTATTGGCTTTTAATACAAGGGTTTGCAGGAAGTCCAAGATGTGCTTGTTTTATCCTGTAATATCTGCAACCCCAAATGCATGAGGATTGAAAGCTTTGAACAGTGATGTGTTAATGAAACAATGTAAGATCTGAACAAAGCAAAAAATAAATTTTCTGCCCTTGAGTGTGTGCCACCACCAAAATTGTGCCACCGCACAGCGCCCTCTAGTGACAAATTGATTAAATGTGCAAAATTTGTGTTCTGTCAAATATTTTTGCGAAAAATAGAAAGAAAGCCCTATTAATGTTATGTGGTGTAATAATGATGTGTTTGTAATGGTACTATGTGTTAACTTTTTAATGTATCACTGCGGTAGACTCTTAAAACAACAGAATGTCTTACTATTGTAAGTAATGGAGATTCACTTTCCAAGGTAATAATTTTATTAATTCACTTTATTAAATATGAATAATATATAATATAAATTGCAATAAATGTGCTGTTTCAGCTTCCTTGTAGTACGACTTCTTTATTTATAACGATCTTAACATAATTATAAATAACCCTTTTAAAAACACTTGGTAAGTATTTTACATCCAAGAACATTTTTCCTTGTTTACTAAAACCACGTTGTGGTATACTATTTCCACCAACAATGGCAATTTTTATGCTTTTTTTTTAATACCACAAATTTCATCTTAATGGAAACATTAAAAAAATTTACAATATTACAAAGCTACAATATTTATGCATATTTTGGGGTTTTGCATAATTTTGCACCCTGGGTTGTTGAATCTACCATTTTAAGGTCATGCCATCTGTTTGTCATATCAAGGTCAAGGTCAAGGTCATAGATTGCAAATGATTGTCAGTAATGATCTTGATATTACTTGGTGGCATCATTACAGGTCAGCTGTACCACTGTCACTTCATTACATAACCACCATTCATGGCCAATATAAGCTGTACCACTGTCACTTCATTACATAACCACCATTCATGGCCAATATAAGCTGTACCACTGTCACTTCATTACATAACCACCATTCATGGCCAATATAAGCTGTACCACTGTCACTTCATTACATAACCACCATTCATGGCCAATATAAGCTGTACCACTGTCACTTCATTACATAACCACCATTCATGGCCAATATAAGCTGTACCACTGTCACTTCATTACATAACCACCATTCATGGCCAATATAAGCTGTACCACTGTCACTTCATTACATAACCACCATTCATGGCCAATATAAGCTGTACCACTGTCACTTCATTACATAACCACCATTCATGGCCAATATAAGCTGATAGATAGTTCAGGGTTTAAAAATAACAATTATTACCTGATTAGATTTATATTTGCAGGGATTTTTCTAGAAAAAAAAATGAAAGAAAGCACTGCAATTCAGTGGTGCCACCAAGTGGGGTAGATAGGGTTCTCCCCACCAGGGTGTGTAGTTTTTGATAATTCTAAGTTAAAATGGAGCATTCTATGGCTTCCTTGGGGTCAAGATTACTATCAGACAGGTCACAGTTGAAGACTGGTCACATGTGATCACTGGTCAATCAGCATTTTATGGTTGCCAGCGGTTTTTCCAGCATTTTATTAAGAATCGTCAAATTGTAATAAAACTGGGTGCCCAAAACAATTCACAGACATGATTAGTTTTGAGATGAAATCCATACATATTAACTACCTAATTTGCATAATTATTTAACTAATCTATTTATATTTCAAGTAGTATTCATCTTATTTCAATGAGTCTCGGTACATACTCTAAGATAGTTTGGGGTTTAAGTATATCAATAATTATTACCTAATTTGCATAATAATTTGTCGGCTTGTCCACCATTTTTTTTAAGAATCATCCAATTGTAACAAAACTCTGTGTCCAGGACAATTTCTAGACATTAGTTTTGAGATGGAATCAATACATAATAAATACCTAATTTGCATAATAATTAACCTATTTCCGTCTACATTGTATATCTCAAAAATCATATATTGCATTTTAATAAGACTTGGTATACAAGTGCCTGAAGACAATACACTTTTGAATGTGTGATAAAATTACTCAAGGTTGTAGCTCTCCGACACAAGTATTCAAGGATTTAATCCGACATTGTTTGTCATTTTTGCATGTTGGAAAAAAGTTACATTTTTACTTGCAAGTTTCAAAAATGCCAAATGTGCAAGTCAAAAAAGTTTGAAAGTGCAAGCGTTATACAATGTAACAGATTCAATGTAACACAAAACTATATTACATTCTAAATATACAAAAAAAATTAAACCTTATTTTGCTACATTAAATCCCAATTAAAGAATTATTATCTAACCACAACCAATTGGGGAAGGAAGGCATACCCCGCCAAAGACACCCTTAGAGAATATTTATGCCTACAAAAAAAAATCTTTACAAATATTGTATTCCCTGATAAAATTACCAATCCATTCCTAAAACTTGTATATCTAAACAAAAGCATTTGAAGTTTTGTAAACAACTCATAATGGAAATGCACATTTTTTCTTTTGATGTACTTGTATGTTATATTTTTATTGCTAACAAATGATAGAAATGTTCCCTTTCTATAAAAGGTGCAATAAATTTTTAGTACAACGTTCAAATATGCATATGTATGGTTTTTAATGTGTACCCAGCTGCCTCCATCTTTTTTTCCGATAAATAGAAAATGGATGAATGTAACCCACACTGGTTCGTCCCAACACTATCCAGTGGTTCATCCGACACTATCTGATTCTTCCCAACGCTATCTAGTTCGTTGCAATGCTATCTTGTTTGTCCCAACACTATCTGGTCCATCCCAATGCTATCTGGTTCGTCCCAATGCTATCTGGTTTGTCCCAACGCTATATGGTTTGTCCCAACGCTATATGGTTTGTCCCTACACTATCTGGTTCGTCCCGACACTATCTGGTTCATCCCAACGCTATCTGGTTCGTCCCAATGCTATCTGCTTCGTTCAGACGCTATCTGGTTCGCCATAATGCAATCTGGTTCGTCCCAACGCTATCTGTTTCGTCCCAATGCTATATGTTTCACCCCAACACTATCTGGTTCGTCCCAATGCTATCTGGCTTGTCCCAATGCTATCTGTTTCGTCCCAACGCTATCTGGTTTGTCCCAATGCTATCTGGTTCGTCCCAACGCTATCTGTTTCGCCCGACGCTATCTGGTTCTTCCCAACACTATCTGGTTTGTCCCAATGCTATCTGGTTCGTCCCAACGCTATCTGTTTCGTCCCAACGTGATCTGGTTCGTCCTGACGCTATCTAGTTCGTCCCAATGCTATCTGTTTCGTCCCAACGATATATGTTTCATCCCAACGCTATCTGGTTCGTCGTAATGCTATCTGGCTCGTCCCAACGCTATCTGTTTCGTCCCAACGCTATCTGTTTCGTCCCAACGCTATCTGTTTCGTCCCAACGCTATCTGGTTCGCCCCGACGCTATCTGGTTCGCTGCAATGCATTCTGATTCGTCCCAACGCTATCTGTTTCGTCCCACTGCTATCTGGTTCGTCCCAATGCTATCTGGTTCGTCCCGACGCTATCTGGTTCGTCCCGGCGCTATCTGTTTCTTCCCAATGCTATCTGGTTCATTCCAATGCTATCTGGTTTGTCCCAATGCATTCTGATTCGTCCCAACGCTATCTGTTTCGTCCCAACGTTATCTGGTTCGTCCCAATGCTATCTGGTTCGTCCCGACGCTATCTGGTTCGTCCCGACGCTATCTGGTTCGTCCCGACGCTATCTGGTTCGTCGTAATGCTATATGGTTCGTCCCAACGCTATCTGTTCCGTCCCAATGCTATATGTTTCGTCCCAATGCTATCTGGTTCGTCGTAATGCTATCTGGCTCGGCCCAACGCTATCTGTTTCATCCCAACGCTATCTGGTTCGTCCCAATGCTATCTGGTTCATCCCAACGCTATCTGTTTCGTCCCAATGCTATCTGGTTCGTCCCCACGTTATCTGGTTCGTCCCAATGCTATCTGGTTCGTCCCAATGCTATCTGGTTCGTCCCAACGCTATCTATTTCGTCCCAATGCTATCTGGTTCGTCCCCACGTTATCCGGTTCGTCCCAATGTTATCTGGTTCGTCCCAATGCTATCTGGTTCGTCCCAATGCTATATGTTTTGTCCAAACTCTATCTGGTTTGTCCCAATGCTATCTGGCTCGACCCAACGCTATCTGTTTCGCCCCGACGCTATCTGGTTCGTCCTGACGATATCTATTTCATCCCAATGCTATCTGTTTCGTCCCAACGCTATCTGGTTCGTCCCGACGATTTCTGGATTGTCCTAGCGCTATCTGGTTCGTCCCGACGCTATCTGGTTCGTCGTAATGCTATCTGGTTTGTCCCAATGCTATATGTTTTGTCCAAACTCTATCTGGTTTGTCCCAATGCTATCTGGCTCGTCCCAACGCTATCTGTTTCGTCCCAACGCTATCTGGTTCGTCCCAACGCTATCTGTTTCGTCCCAACGCTATCTGGTTCATCCCAACGCTATCTGGTTCGTTCCAATGCTATCTGGTTCTTCCCAACGCTATCTGTTTCGTCCCAACGCTATCTGTTTCGTCCCGACGCTATCTGGTTCGTTGCAATGCATTCTGATTCGTCCCAACGCTATCTGTTTCGTCCCACTGCTATCTGGTTCGTCCCAATGCTATCTGGTTCGTCCCGACGCTATCTGGTTCGTCCCGACGCTATCTGGTTCGTCGTAATGCTATCTAGTTTGTCCCAATGCTATATGTTCTGTCCAAACTCTATCTGGTTTGTCCCAATGCTATCTGGCTCGTCCCAACGCTATCTGTTTCGTCCCAACGCTATCTGGTTCGTCCCAACGCTATCTGTTTCGTCCCAACGCTATCTGGTTCATCCCAACGCTATCTGGTTCGTTCCAATGCTATCTGGTTCGTCCCAACGCTATCTGTTTCGTCCCAACGCTATCTGTTTCGTCCCGACGCTATCTGGTTCGCCCCGACGCTATCTGGTTCGTTGCAATGCATTCTGATTCGTCCCAACGCTATCTGTTTCGTCCCACTGCTATCTGGTTCGTCCCAATGCTATCTGGTTCGTCCCGACGCTATCTGGTTCGTCCCGACGCTATCTGTTTCTTCCCAATGCTATCTGGTTCATTCCAATGCTATCTGGTTTGTCCCAATGCATTCTGATTCGTCCCAACGCTATCTGTTTCGTCCCAACGCTATCTGGTTCGTCCCAATGCTATCTGGTTCGTCCCGACGCTATCTGGTTCGTCCCGACGCTATCTGTTTCGTCCCAATGCTATCTGGTTCATCCCAATGCTATCTGGTTCGTCCCAACGCTATCTGGTTCGTCCTAACGCTATCTGGTTCGTCCAGACGCTATCTGGTTTGTCGTAATGCTATCTGGCTCGTCCCAAAGCTACCTGTTTCATCCCAACGCTATCTGGTTCGTCCCAATGCTATCTGGTTCGTCCCAACGCTATCTGTTTCGTCCCAATGCTATCTGGTTCGTCCCCACGTTTTCTGGTTCGTCCCAATGCTATCTGGTTCGTCCCCATGCTATCTGGTTCGTCCCAATGCTATCTGGCTCGTCCCAACTCTGTTTCGTTTCATGTTTCGGCACTATGCTATTTCGTCCTGACGCTTTAACAAATCAAGACAATGCCAATCTAATGTACACGGAATGATAATATACAAAAAACAACAACACTGAATTAAAGCATATGACATTATTTTTGGCACTTATCTGACGCCATAGTGTTCGAGCCAATGCTGTTTAGTCCTTACATTGTTTCCAGTCAAAGATGCTGAATTGTTCGGACATCGAGTTACGAAAACATCGAGATACGGCAAAATTGTAACTCGATGTTCAAATAACAGTTAACAGAACTTCGAGTTACGGGCAATATATATATATTTGTTTTGTTTATTGTTTATTTTTTCCAAGTTCGGTTAATAATTAAAATTCGAAGTGTGGACGGCATAATGAAAATTTGAACATAACAATGAAGAATATTTAAATTAATCTTAATTTTTTAAACTTTTATATCGACATGGCTTATTGTGTTCGGCCTGGAATTTGCTGTCCTATACATACATATTTGTCTATGTACTTTACTAATAAGATATTATACATATAGTTATTTTATTTATTTATTTGTAAAGATACATTTCTTAAAATAAGTACAAGAAATACTGTTATAGATCATGAAAAATAACATATAACAAAATTAATATTAGTACAATAAAAATAACATTACAATCTACTTATTAGTTTAAAAAAGTTGTTCTAACGTCCATGGCATCAACTAAAAATTCTTTCATAAGTTTGTCTATGGTGTAACATATTTCTTTGCTATAACCTTGAGTGGTATCTCCCAGAAGAAAGCATAATAAGTCTTCGTTATTCAGTTGCTGGAAGTTATCAGATAAATTTGTTTCTTTCATCTTCAATAACATTTATTTTATTTCACACATTAAGTTTTCCCTTTTTATTTTAAAACTTGGACATTGCAAAATAAAATGTTCGAGAGTTTCTTCGTCTTTTTCACAACATGGACAAATTATGTCATCTTCACTATTATTTTCCCATTTTCTTTTTTCATATGTTAACCCAAGAGTACATAATCTTGCTCTGAATTTTAGCTGTGCTCCTTTAAAGTTATTTATTGACTGAAGATATTTCTCACTTTTCAAGCTAGTTTTGAATTTTCTATAATAATTAAGGCTTGATTTTAACTTCATATCTTCTCTCCACTTGGGTTCATCATGGTTCAGAACCAATGTTTTTAGTTGTTTATCAGTTAAGTTTGTAAACTGTTTTTTTTATTTATTTTGACATGTTTTATTATATCATCTGTATATCTTAGCCAGTTCCAAAATATGTAACCTCTATGTTGTTCAGTTTCTTGGTTTAGCTCATTTAATTTGGTAAAAATAACTTTTGTCCACCTAGATTCTTTCATTTCATTCAGTCTCCTATAATATTTTAAACTCATTATATCTATATTGTATTCAACCCAAGATCACCAAAGAACAGCTTCATTTGCAGTGTTTCACTGACTTTTCAGTATAAATTTTCAAACTGTTCTTTGCAGTTTTTCCAAACTCTCCATGTCAGATAAACTAGGCGTTACTATTTCACCAGCATATTCTAATGAAGGGCGTATTACATTATTCCATAGTGACAACCCATAATCTACCCTATTAATGTTTCCATGATTTCCAAGGGTTGCTTTCATTATTGGGAATAGTTTGTTGAATGTTTCACTTATTTTTACACAGTGAGTATGGTCAGAGTTGAATGCATGTATGAATACAGTGATTGAATTCCATTTTGTTTTGTCATAGATGCCCTTTAATCCTTTAATTTTGAATTTCCTGGTTGAGTCGATAAACCTAATTTCAAATTGTGAAAACAAACATGGTTATCGTGTTCTCTTGGCGTAAATCAGGTAAAGAGGAAGGTACCCGGATGGAAGTAGACATACGAGTATGCCAGCAGGATTTACACAGGAATATAATAATTTTATTCAACACAAAAATCTACTACAGAGAGTAATTTTATGGTTGTAAAACAAAAACAGAAATAATACTTCACGCAACTAATATCACAAATACCACATTAAATATATATAATTATAGAACGAGGAAAAAACATAAGCTAATGTTATTGTTTAGGACGAAGTAAAACTGAAGTACAATTCACTCCACCAAAATCACGAATAAAACACTGAATAAATGTAACTAAGAATGGAAGAAAACAAAACAAAAAACAAACAAACAAACATGCGAATTAGTATAACAATAAAACTACTAAGCTACTAAATATGCCATTGCAGACTAATTTGAATATGTCTACCTGTAATGCGCAAATCTGATTGGCTGAGGTATCATTTCCACTCCCTCCAGGGAATGAGTGTGAGTGTGAATGTGAATAAATAAATAAATAAATAAATAAATAAATAAATAAATAAATAAATAAATAAATAAATAAATTATATTATTGTAATAATTACATGGGGAGATAGAGCGTAGGAAAAAAATGTTGTTTTGTGATGTAACATTAAATCCTTTCAGTATTTGTTGTGTCCTCTGACAGTACAGTTGTGTAATAAGAGTTATTAATAAGAGTTATTTATTACATTATTATTTTATTCTCAACCGCAGACAGACGTAATTTCCACTGCGCCGTGAAAGTCTATGGAGCATTTCTCTGGAGTGTCGCTGCAGTTTAGACACATGAACAGGATTTCGTTGTGAAATCAATCATACCCGGATGTCCGACGTTCAGCGCTATTGACATAGCTGTTGAACTCTGATCTCAGTATCTCTGTTACGGGCACGGGAATCTTCATTTGTGTGTCGCTTGATGCTTGATCGTTGATTTAGTTTATTCTCGGTTAGTTTGTGTACTATACGGGTTTTTGGAGATAAAATGCTCAGTACTGCGACAACATTGGTGAAGGTGGGCATGAACCTGTCATCTCGGCTCCGCGCAGTTCCCACGTTATCGCAACTACGTTATCATCAGAAATTTAGTACATCTAGCCGGTGTTTGAACAGTAAGTTTTCATAATTTCATTCCTGAACGTAATAATAATAATATTCTCGGTTGAAACAAGGTCTAGTGTTTGTTCTGGGTTTTCCCAGTCTGTGGCCTTGATACTAATTTCAGATCGTTTTATGATATATCAACTGTGCATGAATGGCCATTGTCGAAAAATAAATTCGATTTCTCAGTCGTTTTGTAATCGCTTTCATAAAATTTGACCTTTGAACTGACTTAATATGTAACTGATATATTCGTCGTCTTTTAACTCATAACATAAATTTCTTGACTATTATAGACCGGCCCCGTCCACGTACTTGTGTCACATGTGTACTAGTTTCACATGTGTACAGTGAACGGGATTTTACAGTCAGTGTTTCCATAAACATCGCTGTTAATTATTTGTCCTTTTGACAGAATTTGACCTTGATGGAAAAAGTGGGTCGGTTAGCTCGCATGGTCTTGACGATTAGTAGCTACATAGTCCCTCCATGGTTGCCATAACAATTTAGGGGACCCCTAAATTGCTGCTACTACGATTTAAGTAGTGTTCACGCGTGATTATTTATACTAATAATTTTATTTATATGATATATATTTTAATAATTTTAGAGGAACAGTAATGGTTACAAAAGCAAATGAAAGAAACAAAGAAAAAAAATGACAACACCATTATATTATATATGAAGCTTGCATAAATCATTGAAATGGAAATTTTCGGCATTTTATTATTATTATTTAGGCTCACAAAGCTAATAAAATAAATAGTTTTATTACAGCTTAGTGTTGGAAAAAATCCAAATATTATTAATATTTTAGAATAATTGGTACATGCATGGTATTGTGTGAATATGAATGGCCATTAATAGGGATTTCTCAATTTGTAATTGCTTTTATAGTATGTCCCGCCAACTGACTATCATATAACAGATATGTTCTTTGTCTGAGATCATTTGAACCCTGTTCACGTATTCTAACGCTCACAGATAGTGCAATCAATAATTGCAGTTTTTGAATATTAACGCCAGACTTTTAGATGTTGGAGTGTTTTGGTTGCTAACTAAAGGGGAGCCTTGGAAATCAACCAGTATTCAAACCCCCCAAAATAATACTAAAATGTGACCCCTCCCCACTACATGTATATGGTTGATTGAAGCACAATCCTATATAGAGACTTTATATACACTAAATGTCCTGTCTCTAAATCAGACTCAATTCAAATCAGATATGTTCTTGAAAGCTCAATAGTGCTGGTGTTCCAAGTAAATTCCAAAACATGAACATAATCTGTGTTTCATGATCATTGAACGAGCTCAGAAGATTTGACAATCGCTCTCAAACAAAAGAATGTAACTGAGATCCTCTTAATGGAACTTGTATAAAATTTGATCTTCTCATTGCTCCTCCTGGTTAATAATAAAAGCACCATTGGAATTTCTTGAAGGTGAACCTGTTTGTTGTTTGATCTTGAGATGAGAAGTGGGTCAGCTGAAAAAATAAATTTGAAAGAAGTCTCCTTAATGTTTGACAGCATCTAATTATTACTGTAGTAATATTTTATAATAATTTCACTCGTAGTACAAGCATGTTTGTTTAGTTGAATTTATTTTCTAATTTGCCTACACTATAAAACTTTGTTTACAAGGCAACATTCTATTAAAGCCTTACTGCTCCATCCCAGGAGAACAACAGCCAAAGCTAGTCATGGTTCATTTATATGGCATAACTATTAGAGCCAATATTCAATCACCCTGAGATGTAGACCTACATG